ATGGGAGTGGTAGTGATGGGAGTGGTAGTGGTGGGAGTGGTGACCGGGCTGCTGGGGGAGGAGGAGGTCGCTGTGGGAGGCGGGCTTGGAGTCGTGGGTAGAGGTGTGCTGGTGCTGGAGGTGGTTGAGGTGGCGGGGGTGGTGGAGGTGTGGGCGGGGGTGGTGCTTGTCGGAGTGGGCGCGCTACTTGGCGTGGACTCGGTGGAAGTAGGGGTGGGCACGCTCAGGGTAGAGATTGGTGTTGTGGTTTTGGGCGTGGTGGTGGTGGCGCTCTGCGTCGATGGCGTGGTGCTGGCGGTCGAAGAGGGGGAGGGGGTCGGCGTTGTTTTCGGGGTGCTGCTGCTGGGGACCGCGGTCGGAGGGGTGGAAGCTGCAAGGCAGAGGCAAACCAGGCAGTAGCGGTGAGGCGGCGGGACTGGGCTGCCCCGAGGCAAGGGTCCCCGTGGAGAGCTCTCCTCTGGCATTTGCCTGGAGGGGCTTACCTGTAGCGGTGGGCGTCGGAAGTGGTGGGCTGGTCTTTGGAGTCGCTGTGGTAGGGAAGAGCAGAGGGAAGGCCGTGTGGGAGAAAGAAGTAAGGGGTTGGGGGAAAGCCGCCGAGGGCCATAGCGGCGCTGGGGCCGGAACCTACGGTGCTTCAAGCTAGAGCCCAGCGGCCAGGCTAAGCACGACGGGGCGACCCTTGCCCGCAGGGTGGACGCGAAAAGGTGCCAGAAGGGGCAGGCAAGGGGTCTTGAGGCCTCTGCTGTGGGAAGGGCCCCCGGGAGATGGGTGGTGCGCAGAGTCACTGAAGCCAACGGCCCAACTTACCACTGCTGGTCCTGATTGGTCTCGTGCTCGGCGTCGAAGGGGCCGGGGTCTTGGTCGTCAGGGTGGTGGTAGAGGGGGTGACGGGAGCGGTGCTGCTGGGCAAGTAGGTGGTGGGAGTGGTAGTAATGGGAGTGGTAGTGGTGGGAGTGGTGACCGGGCTGCTGGTGGAGGTGGAGGTCACTGTGGGAGGCGGGCTTGGAGTCGTGGGTAGAGTTGTGCTGGTGCTGGAGGTGGTTGAGGTGGCGGGGGTGGTGGAGGTGTGGGCGGGGGTGGTGCTTGTCGGGGTGTGTGCGCTACTTGGCGTGGACTCGGTGGAAGTAGGGGTGGGCACGCTCAGGGTAGAGATTGGTGTTGTGGTTTTGGGCGTGG